CTGCACTGCCAGGGAGGGCAACAACAGCTTCACTCACTGGTTCTCAATGTGCCCTCATGTCTTCATGGGGGCAGACTAACCAGGACGCCTCGTAGCCGCAACACCTTACACCCGGTATTTAGGCTAGAACCTAGCAATGGCTGATTTCAAGTAAAACTTGTTTTGTCCAGAGAATTCTGATTCAGCAGATCCAAATATTCGAGCAAGCATCTGTTTAACAGGATACTCATCAGGAACGCTCCTGAGGAGCAGGATGGTGAGCTGGCAGCCAGATTTGTCTTTCACTGTGTGCACATGAAGACAGAGACTCGAAATCCTCACAGGGCTGTTAACTAGAGCTCTCATTTGGCATGTATCAGCTTCATGGTCTCATAAGCACTCTCTCTCACGATCCCTTCTCTATCTGTCTCCTCCTTTCTCTCCTTTCACCATTCAAACTGTTGGTTTCCCAACGGCTAAGCCTATCAAACAGGCTATTCTGAGCCATTCACCTCTATACGTTGTCCCTTGTAGAATACATTTCACATTATAAATAAGAATATGAGGACACACAGGTCTATGAACTATCTGATAAAGCAAACCAGAGTTTCCAGGAAGTTTCAGGGTAACGTTCTCCCTTCTCCTGTATCATTAAACTAGAAATAAAAGGAGCAGTTACAGTTTTACGTCTGATTTTTCTACCTGGCCAGTGGCATTTTAAACTCAATTGCATCTCACCTCTTGCCTCTTGAGCCAGAGTGAGTTATTTATTAACTCCGATACGCTTTACTCACTACCTAAAACATGAAGTAGTTCGTAGTATAAAGCCAAGAGCTCAGGGTCAAACCGGGGGGAGCAAGTGCCAGTGATTTTTTTTTTTTAAATCAAGAGTGAACTTCTTTTTTGGGACCATGTGGGACCAACAGACAACATCGAAGAAAATATTGTACTGCATTAAACTTATTCTTCCAAAACTAGGTAAGCTGACCCTTACTTGCTTAGCCCCTGAGCTTCCTCAGACAGTGTTGCTCTCTCTCCTTCCCCTAAGTACTCCTTGGTCACCAAGTAAGGTCACAACCTTCCCCTTCCTAGTGATCTTCAACTAAGCCTGAACCACTGAAGTCAGCTGCAGCTGGGCTATTAACTTCAGGGAGCACCTGATCCAGCGCTCAAATACCTCTCTCCTGGGTAGTTTAGGAAGTGAAGGACATTGCTCCATCAATGGACAATCAGACAGCAGCTACAAGGGCTACAAGCACCTGTCAAATCCATTTTGGTTACATGGTGGGTGAGGGAAGCTGTGGAGAGAGGGATGCAGAGATCTTTTAAAGTGCACAGTTTCTGGCATTAATGAAAACTAAATAACTGAGCCCTCAGAAAAGCACCCTTCTTTACACAAACACTCCTCGACTGTGCTTTAATAAACACTGTGTATTTAAGATTCACGACAGGACACTAGGTTAGCCAGATGCCTCCTCTTTCAATCATCATTTGGTTGTCGAAAATCAAACATTGCAAGAAGAATTAGCCCAAAGACCAGACCATCCTATTCAGCTTCCCACCCATAAATTGGCAGATGTAATAGCTGCTCTGACCATTTGCCTTCAAGCTCCTCAGGGTGCTGGTGGCCTTGCAGGTGTGCACAGAGAACACGTTAGCACAAGGGGGTTGGAACTGTCGTAGAGCCTCTCACAAGTTCCTGCAGAATCACGAACACCAGTATTCTACATGAAGCCGCAGGCACAATGAAAGTTTTCTTTGTATGAATCCATGGGGCTAAATTCCAGCTCAGTGAACCTGGAAGTTGCTCTTGGTAGCCCTTTGGGTTGTAAGGAAAGGCTGCACTGGAAATGGGAATCCCTGGAAAAGCATGATTCAGCCATAAAACAAGGTCAAGGTGATAGAGCAGCTCTGAATCAAAGGCTGCAAAGCTCCTTATTCACTGTACATCATATTGGCTTTGCCCACTTTGGGGACAGCAGTAGTTGGCAGAATTCGGAACATTTATTAAAATATTTCTCTTGCAGCAAAAAATAAAATACACAAAGTATATGTAGTGGGAAGTGAAAAGGAAAAAAAAAGTGTCATGTCATTATTTGTAACAATGATTCTACACCATTTTCTAAAATTAGTTGCATTTAGTATTTCGTTTTGAAGAAGGGAAATAGAAATCAGAACATGTTCAAACAAAATTTCAGTGTCGAACGCTTTCATATAAAATTTGGAAAAGTGGTTTAGCCAAACTCACATAAAACCAGCACCAGAATTAGAAATGAAATTCTGAAATTCAAGTTCTTGTGCCTGAATATCGATTGCCAAACTGTACCTTTTACACAGGAAAAATGTGTGAAAGTATTTGCATTTAGGTTGGTTTCTGCAGCTATGCTGGGTGGTACCTACAACAGAATATTAACAGTGTAGATAATCAATACTACCTGAGGAACGGAGAGCAACTGCTAGGCATGAATTCCTCTTCTTTGAGGATTTAAAAGACTGCTCATCTTGGTCAGGTAAACTTAGCAAACCAATTTCTCCCTGAAATTTTGCTCAATGAACACAGAGCAGGCGTGTATTTACTCCATACTCCTCCGGATTCGGCAGTCCTACAATACTATAAACCTTCTACGGGAACAGCTTGTACTTCAGCAGCAAAGACAACTCCTACCAGAACAAGGACATAACAAACACAGTGCTAACTCCGTACTTAAAGAAGTATTGCATTGTATCAAGTTCCACAGCTCCTGTTCACAGGCAGCCACCGTAGATCTGCCAAGGCCTCTCTCCTCAGCGAAAAGAGCCTCATCTAACTCTGAATTCATCTCTCTGAAGCTGAGAATAACTGTTCTCTTAAACTCAGTCTATTAAAACATTCAGTTATCTACTAAAGAATGACAACACTTGCTATGATTCAAGGGCATATTTCTTAAAAACGTTAGTCTGGCTCAGTGCCTTTGGCTCAAGTGTCCTTTGGTTGCCTCACAGGGCACACAGGCCACTCTAGCCCAGCATGTGCAGCTCAGATGATACAATTTCTGGGGGCAGGTGAGGAGAGGGTCTGCTTTCTACCTGCCACCAAAGGAGACCTCTGCCACTGGTCTGAGCTGCTCTCACAGAAGAGCTTTCCCATGGATGCTCTCTGCACATACTGTATCACTTCTCTTTCACTATCTGCAAATCTTGAGGTTCCTTCTTATTCTGCTTACCTGAACTTTGAGGCGGGCACATTTATTACAAAACACAGATCTAAAGAAATTTCCAGAAGGGCATATGTTCTAGCAGCTGAAAAGCCCCCATGGTTTACAGCATGACGCTTGCTTGCCAAACAAGCAGAGCCAAACATTCACTGCTTTATTACACTCATGGAACAACTGGTGTTGCATACAACTGCTGGGTTAGCCTGGACTGTTGCAGGGGATGAAAAGCCATGTTCTGTGCAAGTTATGTAACAGCCAATAGTAAAAGTCACTGAGATTAAAAAACACCTTAAAATGATCAATCTGCCATGGGAACAGCAAAATAGTATGAGAACACGGTCAAGAAGTAGGCTTATGAATCAGCTGTGGGATTCATAGGACATGAACTCATGTAATACAGATGGGAAAAAAACTCCAGCCTTAATATTTGCTTTGGAGCAGCAGTTCAGCTGCTTTGTCTCACTCAGCTCGCTCACAGTAACTAAACTCAATTTAAAAAACTAGTTATAGCTGCTTTGCACCACCAAGCAGCATAAAATATACACACTGTACCACTGGATACAAGAAGTGCACAATTCTGCTGAAATACTAAAATGCTCTGTGGGACTTTTTTCCTGGGGGGGTTATGCCTCCTTTCTGCTGTCATCCGAAAGCTGTGGTGAGTTATTTTAGGTGCATGGTTACAAGGAGCTACTTGTTAGTTTAAATTCAGCCCTTAAGTGCAGGCAACTAAAAATTGTCAACTTTCATTGAGAACTTGGAAATGGTTTGAAAGTTGTAAATTTGTTGATATTGGCTGTAATTCTCCATGCTAAATTCCAGTATTCTACTTTTTAAGCTGGCCTCAATTTCCTGGCAATGGTACTTTAACCCACAGATCTAATTTTACTTCGTGAAGGGGGATGACGATAACAGCTAGCTCTTCCTTAAAAAGAACAGTTAGTTCCTCTAAGAAAAATACAATTTGGCAGTACAGAAAGCATCCAAACTAGGAAAACTTTCGCTGTTCCACCATTCTGCTATAGCCTCACAGCAAAACGCTCACAAAATACATGTAGACAGTAGAACAGATGCTTTGCATGCATTAGAAAAATCACCTTCATTAATGTGGAGATCTATCCAAGATATAGTGGTATGCCACTTTACCCCCTTGGGTAAACCTTAGCTCTTGGGCATGGGATTATGTAAGTGAGCTTGTTCTGGGTTTCACAAAAGTACAGTGAGTACTTCTGTCTTTATAAACTCTCATAATCTTTATTGGACTTTAATGAAAAAATACAAAGCCAAAATCAGATAATAATCAGTATGTCAATATAAAACACAGGAAATATCTACTGATGGCCCTAGTTATGGCTATGGACATGTAAAACTGCTCTTTAAGTGCAGCATTTGAATCCCTAATGCCTGTGATATTCCCAAACCTAACACAAGCTCTCTGTGGGGACGGCCTAGATGAGGGGCCATGGTCATCCACGGAAAGGCTCAGCTGGAGCCCCTGCCGGACTGCTAGGCACTAGCATCCAGTCCACAGTATATATTTGGCCAGTGATCAGCTTCTTAACTTTCATTTCATTAAATACTCTGCTGCACTACATAGTTTCAAAGGAAGTACATGGATGAATCTTTTACAGTATCTGAATTCTGCCTTTGACTTACCCAGATAATGAGATCAACTGCTCTTTGCAATCTCTGCTTTTTTTTCTAGTCAATCACTAGCTATTCCACACATAAAACATTTAAACGACTGCTTAAAATGGTGTTGAGCACAGATTTTAAATTTAAAGCAGCCTGTAACATGAAAGTATACATTTATTGAAGAGGCCTTACCTCCAAAAGACCATCTTCAGGTAGGTCTGTGCAGTGGACAGCATTCTGAATCTTGTTCTTCCCAAAGACAGCGCGCAGAGTTCCCGGTCGGAGATGACGGGCTATTTCCTGTTGAACACAAGAAGATTGAAAGACACCTCGTGAACCACATTGTTCCCTTTTATCATGGATGCAACAGAATCTTACATGAGTAAGATTCAGAAAGTAAGGCATGATTGTCATATTAATATATGTATGGTACACATGAATGAAAGGAATGAGTGAAAAATCAGAAGGGAAATTCCAGATTGCATTATATCAATGCACGACTGCTGAAAAGCCAGAACAAAAACCATGAAAACTGTCATCTTGAAATTGGGGTAATCAAGGCACCTCGGATGGAACTCAAGGTCATCCATGTTACACCGTCCTGGTGTTTGTGTTAATATGGGTAGCTTCTGTTAGCAAGTTTGCAGCTCTCAAGCCCAACGTCCCAGGCCTTAGTATGCAGACACAAGTGCAGCACCTTGGTAGAGTGCCTCCCTCTAAACCAAGGGGACCGAACTGTTCACCTCAAAACTCAACATATGAAATCAAACTACTGGATGAGCTCTCAGTCTCCTTCTCTGCTGTACTCTCTGACACTGTGACTACTGCCAGTGCTTTCTTCAGCTAAACAAACATCTCATCCTTGGTTTGATCCCCCATGAGGAAGATTAGCACATTCACACTCCCTACATCTTGTCCTGTTCTCCTAAGATTAAATTTCAACCCTCTTTAACCCATCTATGATGCCAAACTTCTCCCTGGCCTCTTACAGCATGTTTTTATTATTACAGCACATACCACTCAGATCCTGAGATGACCTTGCACTCCTACCTCTTTTCCATGGCAGATATCCCATCTCCTCCTTCAGAGGGCTGCCTTCCCTGGCTCTCCCCTCCACCATGCTCCTTTCTTTGGGACATAAGGTAATCCTGCTGCACTGCTCTGCACTCTCACCTTGCAGTGTTGTTTTTTTTTGTCCCCAAAACCATGTTACACCTTGTAACCTCTCCTTCTAACATCCTGGAGCATTCTTCCAAGTCTACCGAATGCCAGGTATGCCTGCTCTTAAAATGAAGAGGAGGTGCCACTGAGCCCCTTTTCCCCCCGCTCTTTAAAACCCGTTGACATTTTCTCTCTTTTTGCGAGCGCACACTGAGCACCGCTGGCTGGGCGAGGTCACATGGTGACAAGCTCGGACCACAGCTCCGGAACAGAAGTATTTTTCCTTGCCCACAGAGCCTGCACCGGGCCGTCCCTCAGGAGACGCGCACGCTCTGGGGCGCGCTCACTTCCGAGGCAGCACTGCCGCTGCCCTGCGCCGCTCCCAGCTGTTTGCTCCAGTGTGTTGCCCCCACAGCCAAGCCACCAGACCGGATTGCCCAAGCACCTCTTTGCTTTCGATGCTGGGGGGGTTCACACCAACCACAGCAGGCAGCAGCTCTTGGCTGAGCCAGGCAACTTCACACAGGCACTGGTGAGAAGCCCTTGCATGGAGCATGTTTTCCCCTGGCTTGCCAATCCAGTCTTAAACTGCACAAAAGAACCTCACAAGAGGTTAAGTGACCATGACCTTGAGCTACCCTCCAGCCTGTGAGGTCTCAATTCTAAATTAAGGCAGTTTGATTTTAAGAGCTAGGTCTTCTCTCAGCCCAGGAAGCACTGTTTCTACAGAGTCCTGGATTTCTTCCTGTAGTAACAGTTAATAATTATGGTGATCTATTACCTAACACCCACCTGAAAGGCAATCTGACTGCTTTAATGGTTGAAGTTTGTCTAACTCAAATCATGTTCTAAGAAGTTTCAGCTTCCCGCAGGTACTGTGTGTATGTCCCGAGTTAGACAGGCATTTTGGATATGGATTCAAGCAACATTTGAAAAACATAGTCCTTACATCAACCAATTTTCACTTCAGAGGAAAGTTCAAGAAGTAGCAGGGAAGGAAAAAAAAATGCTCCAGGATGGGAAAACCTCTAAGTGGTCCTCATTAAAGGTTTCAATAAAGACAACCTGATGAGGAAACGGAAGTCACACACCAGCGAACTGAGTCTGTTCAAGACCTAAGTCTTTGCTAGAAACAGCTGTTTATTCCTGTAATGGTTAGCTGCCAGCAGGCTGGCCATAGCATTAGGCTTTCAATTCTTTTACAAAGAGTTTAGTCACACTAGAAAAATGCTTGTGGCTGCGGAACCTTTGCAAGTGCTCTCATAAACACAATCTCAAAGGGTGTAGCTTGGGGTTTCACCCTGCGGTAACTCCCATGCATCAAACCCCTTTGCTGAAAGTGTTTCCTCACACAGGTTAAAAATGTGGCTTCTTGAATCTTTCCCAAATTTTCTCGTGACCCATCTTCCTTATCAAACCCACTTTTTTTTTCCCTCCCTCTCTGTAAAAGCAGCTATGGCTGCCTCATTTTTCTACTAACATTGCAGAAAGCTCCTACTTTGCAATCCTACTTTTTTTTTCCGTAAATATACACACATTGGTACATAGTCCCCTGCATTCCTGAAACTCATCACCTGTCCTGCACAAAAAATAAACTGATTCTCTTCTGATTAGACTTAATTGAGGTCAGATGTAAATGAAGGGAGCTTCTGCAAAACTTTACATGGTTAGCGCTTGCCAAATAAGAATCTAAATAAAGCTTTCCTTCTTCAGGGAATAAATAGGACAAGAGATAAGGCAGCATCTGCCTATATTCATGCAAAGAAAAAATGGGGGGGGGAAATGGGGGGGGGACAGGATCATTAATCCTAAAGTTTTATTCTTCTAACACCACTGAAGAACCCTAGGCAGGGAACAAGACATTCATGCAGCACGAAGAACACACAGAGATGTATGAACCATACATAGGTGTATATGTGGCTGGAAATCCTGGGAATATTTTAGGAAGGGTGAAGGGAGATCCTTTAAAAACATAGGACATCTTAAAACACATCCTTCTGCTCCATAACAGGACACTTCCTGAATGTTTTATGTATAGGGTCTCTACTACAACAACAAAGAGATGCAAACAGACAGGGTGCTTTCACTTGTTTGATTTAAACTTTCCCATGAGTTCCGGGAGCCTTACTTTGCAGCTATAGTTTTCAATAACTTTTTGACAGAAGCAAAATATAAGATGCAATGAAGGGTGAATTAAGGGTGAATATTCTCCTCCAAAAATGTTAATAAATACAGTCAGAAAGAAAAGCCCCCCCCCCATATTGTGAACATGGCAGGAGGAAGAAAAGGCAGGTTATAGTCATGGGGGATTCCTCAGTTCAAGGAACAGAGGGTCCGATATGTAGACGCGACCCTCCTCTAAGAGAGGCCTGCTGCCTTCCTGGGGCCTGGGTTAAGGATGTCACCAGGAGATTTCCCAGCCTGATTTGACCCACAGACTATTATCCATTGATGGTCCTGCATGCGGGAGGAGAAGTGGCAACATGTAGCCCAAGGGCAATCAAAAGGGACTTTAGAAAATTGGGTCAGATGATCAGGAACTCAGGCGTGCAGGTCATATTCTCTTCCATTCCCCCTGGTGCTGGCAGCAATACAGAAAGAAACAGGAGGATACAGCCCATCACACTTGGCTCCGTAGCTGGTGTCATCACCACAACTTCAGGTTTTTTGGCAACAGGAAGCCTTACATAGCAGCAGGCTCAAATGGGATTCATCTTTCCCGAAGGGGGAAGAGGGTCCTGGGTCATGAGCTAGCAGGGCTCATTGAGAAGGCTTTAAATTAGATTTGAGGCAGGATGGGGGTATCATCAGGGAAGCAGGTGATAAAAGTAGGAGATGGTCTGCCATGCCACTCACACCAACCTAACTAACTCCAGCGCCAGCGAAGGATCCCCAAAGCTGGGAGAGGGAAAACAGCAAACTACTGTTTGCTGAGTATGAGAACTACTGAAGGCTCACTTAGCCAAGTTACAGCTGCAACCAGCTAGAAAGAGGGGCACATTGGGAGCCCCTCTTGGGGAGCCCAACACGTCCGTGTAAATGCACACAGCATGGGGAATAAACAAGGAGAACTGGAGATCCGTGCGCGCTTGCATGGCCATGATCTCATCGCAATTACTGAGACCTGGTGGGATAGCTCTCATGACTGGAACATGGCCATGGATGGCTTTGTGCTTTTTAGGGAGGACAGGCCAAGAAGGCGAGGTGGCAGAGTTGCTCTTTACGTGAGAGAGCAACTGGAATGTCTGGAGCTCAGTGTAGAGGAGAACAAAGCGCGGGTTGAGAACCTGTGGGTGAGGATTATGGGCAGGGCAACAGAGGCGACACTGTGGTGAGTGTTCACTACAGGCCTCCTGACCAGGGAGAGAAGTGGATGAGGCTTCTACAGGGAGCTGCAAGAAGCCTCATGATCCCAGGCCCTGGTCCTTATGGGGGATTTCAACCACCCTGATGTCTGCTGAGATAATCACACAGCTAGGAGCAGACAGTCCAGGAGGTTCCTGCAGAACTTTGCAGATAACTTCTTGATGCAGCTGGTTGATGAGCCAACAAGGGGAGGGGCGCTGCTAGACCTGATACTAACAGAGATGGCCTAGTGGGAAATGTGAGGGTTGGGGGCAATCTTGGCTGCAGTGACCACGAGATGTTGGAATTCACGATCCTGCGAGGAGGAAACTGGGCAAGAAGTAGGTTTGCAACCCTGGACTTCAGGAGAGTCAACTTTGACCTCTGCAGGGACCTCCCTGGAGGAATCCCTTGGGCCAGGGTCATAGAAGGAAAGGGGGTCCAGGAGAGTTGGCTAGTATTCAACTTTCTCCACTTTCTCCAAGCTCAGGATCAGTGCATTCCTACAAGAAAAAAGTCGAGCAAGGGGGGCAGGAGGCCTGTGTAGTTGGGCAAGGAGCTGTTGGATAAACTTAATGAGAAAAAAACATTTGTAACATGGAAGAAGGGCCAGACCACATGGGATCAATGTTGGAACATTGTCAAGGAATGCAGGGATGCAGCGAGGAAGGTCAAGACCCGTTTGGAATTACAGTTAGAGAGATGTCAGGGACAACAAGAAGGGCTTCTACAAATACATCATCATCAACAGGAAGACTAGGGAAACTGTGGGCCCGCTGCTGAATGGGGAGGGT